TGGGAAATTCATATTTACTAGATAGATATATATATAATAATTATAATAGTGTTGGTAAGTATATACATATCTACTTTACTTCGTGATTTATAGGTAGAGGTGAAACTACAATGTAGATCTTTTTTATATTAAAGGAGAATATAATTACGTCACTGCAGAAGCTCATGGGGAAAAAATGAGGGTGAAGTACTTTTTTTAGGTCAATGACAGTAAATCCTTTGTCTATAATAAAAAACTGCATGTATTTATTTATCACATTTTCATATTCATGTAGGTATAGGTATGTATACATCTATGTTCACTATCCTCTTATTAATTAATACTAATGTAAAGTACAAATATAACACACTAATTGCTACCGATACGGATCATGCTAATTTGCCAATTGGGGTTGCAAAATTGAGGTCACTGCAACAGAAGTTATTCTCCACAAATGTTTGAGACGTTTTATTTGTAAACGCATTTCCTCATGAGGGAAACATGTACGTTATAAACTTGAGTATCAACATTCCGTTCGTCGTAAAGCCTTGAAGACTAACAATTTGATGGAAAGCTGCCACTTATTGCAATGTTTAGTAGGTCATTAGAAAATTCTAGATTGTCAAAGAATTGAATGTCATTATCCGATTTTGCGTATGCTTGACCAGATTAAATATTACTTTAGTCACTGCGTAGAGAATACGTAATTATTCATTGCGGTAATTCCTACACACCTGTAATGGTTGGGTAAATAAATTACATATGTAGCTAACACAAACGATCTGTGAATAACAATAGAAATTATTATTAAGAAGTATTTCAGTTGACACAAAATGCATAGTACAAAATTCTTAGGTAATGCAAATTATTCCACTACTTCTTAAAATTATTCTATTCTTAGTTGTATGTAGCGGTATTAAAACAAATAAAAGTAAAACCAAAATACTGGTGTGGAAGGGAAGAAAAATTAGGGAAAAAACGAATGTAAAGATAGGAGACGAAAGATTAGAAGAAGTGTTGATTTTAGGTATCTAGGAACCCAGATAAGTCAGAACGAAAGGAGTAGCAGGGATATAAAGCAGAGGATAGTGCAGGGTCGAGTCGCTTTCAATAAAAAAAGTCACTTCTATGTTAGCGAACGATTAATTTAGAAATTTGAAAAAAATTGCTAAAGGTGTATGTTTGGAGAGCGGCCCTGTACGGGTGCGAAACATGGACGGTGGGCGCGACGGAAAAGAAAAGGTTAGAATCGTTTGAAATGTGGTGTTACCAGCGAATGATGACGACACCGTGGATAGGAAGGTTAGAAATGAAGAGGCATTAGAAAGAGTAGGAGAACAGAGGACTCTATAGAAGTCAATAAAAAATAGGCGAGATAGGTTAGTAGGACACCTTCTCAGGCACGAAGATGGGAAGATTAACTCAGGATAGGAAGTAGTAAAGGTGCGTGTCCAACCAGTTTTAGAACTGACGACCTTATGTTGATGATGAGTTGCATTTATTGTTATTGTTATTAACTGAATACATTTAAAATGTTAAACAATCACCCAATTACTTATTAAATTGACAGTAGGTAACTTGGTAAGGTAAACGTCTTCAATTAATAAATGAATGAACCGAAATAAAATTTATTTACTTTTTTGTAAATATTTAGAGTTCTGTTTCATGTTACTACATAGATATTCATTTATTTAAAATAGTTTGCAATACTTTCCCATGAGAGTATGGTTAAGCCGATGAACTATTCGTGAAATTAAAACGGCTAAATGAGTATAGGGTTGCTCAAAGACCTAGGCATTAACCTGTCACTTGCGGGATTTTACCCGCGTTCATACGTCTAATGCGCGTCAGTTTGTAAAGTCATGATCGGCGAAGATGGTCGTATGTTTAATTTGTCGCGGTTGCCCTATGCCCTTCTTTATACGTATTAGTGCTAGTGTATGTGCGTGAAGTGAAAAGTGATTAAAGGAATAACAACAAGGAATAAGAAGTAGAAGACTGTCCAGCTTCAATGAGTTAAATGTAACCTATCTCACCGTCAAGGTAAGTACTTAAATAGGTGTTACTAAATCATTCATAGCAAGTTTAAGTTGACATTTCTGTATTTAAAACATACAATCGTGCTTGCGCTAAAAAAGTGACAAAGGAGAAGTGTTGATAAATGAAATGAATGTGTATTGAAGACAAAAATTACTGACATTAATAATTTCTTGTTTATTTAGTAAGTAATTTAACATAATATCACAAAAGACGGTACAATGGATACTGATTAATGTTATCAAACAAAAATACACACTTATTCTAAAGAAATGTAGGTAGCTATTAACTAATTTAATTAATACATTTCGAAAAAGAAGTTAATTATTAAAGCACAAACTTGTTAGCTTCATAACATCACAACGACATACAGCTGTGGGTGCAAAATTTTATGGGTAGGTAACAAAAACAACAATATTTCATTATTAACTAATTATCTTTCTTTTGAACTGACAAATAAGAGTTTGTCAGCGCATTTTTTGCCTACCAATCTCCCAATGTTTTCGTAAACATCAACTTCCCCAAATGTTCGTTTGTATCGTCCGAATATGGTGAAAGTATAACCGATGAGAATCTTTATTCGATCGATATCGGATGACGAACACATTTCTTCGTCGATTGCGTCGATATCGTCATTCAGACGGGAATATTTATTTGCGTCAAGTTTGGGGATGCAGTTTTCGATCGGGAACCATTTGTACGTTTCAGGGCATAACAGCAACGAGTTACCAAGTCGCCCTTTATATCTCATTTTTGGGCAAGAATGGATGTAATAACCCATGTAATAATATTCAATAGACGGCAATATTTGGTGAAGGGATCTTACGAAATATATTTCCCTGCAAAAACAAGTCTACACACAGGAAATAGTAAAATAAAAACAAGCAACGGTGAAAATTGGGAAATTCATTCGTTGTAGGTAACTACTATAGCATAACTTTGCGATTTTGTTGTTTGTACGTGAGAGAGGTTACGTGACTTAATTTTGTGTATAAATCTCACCAATACGCGTGCACTCAATTTAGAAAATCAACCGTAAGCCATGTCAAATTTTTGCAAGGGCATTATTGCAAAAGAGCAAGTTCAATAACGAGAGCGTGAAATAAAGAAATGTAACTAATGATAAATGCAAGTGTTACTACATTTAATCGTCTATCTGCTTTGAAGGATAATAAATTCAGCCTCGAAATTGATTTTAGTTGTTATTCATACAAAGGGAAATAAAGTTTGTCATTTTAGATAATTAGGAAACGTAAATTCCGAGATGGAGACTTTGTGAGATAGACACATTCCTTGAATGAAATACGAATATCTGATAAACAACTTGATTGATCAGACCTTATACTATTACATTTCCTTTGGATTATATGACCTTTTTATCAAGTAATATTCGGTATAATCAAAGAACACATTCTTTTTATAAAATTTTAAATAGTCATTTACCTCAATGAGCCATAGGTGCCTAACGTCAGAAACCTGTACTCTGGATCATAAAAGAAGTAGACTGAACTAACACATTTTGGCAAAATATCGATAACACCTACTGCAATTAGTTTATCATCTATCCAATATTGCTGATGGAATGACCCAAGCATCACTGTTCCATTTTCTCCTCGACTCCTAACAGTCTAAAATTATAAAGAAAATTTGTGAAAAATGACGAATTAACTTTAGTGCCTACTTTTCTAGCACTCCCATCAAATATTTTTAAACCACTGATGAGTGAAATCGTTCATTCAATAGCACATTGGGATTGTCATAACTGTTTTAAAAACCATTGATGGGAATTCTAAAATCGTAGAATCTCTGTTATGTCGTGTTCAATGATCCCAACGTAAAAGACATTATTGAACTGATAGATACTAGAGCTTTATCCCGCTTCTTTGTTATAATGATATTAAATTAAATTAGGCAGTATATAGGCTGGGGATGTAACGTAGAGAAGTAGTAGTCCGACAAGGATGATCACCGCTACTTTTTAATTTATACATCGAAAACGCGATCAACATCACTAAAAACAGTACAACTGTAGGGATATATTTACAGGGGCAAAAGATTAGTATGCTTAGAGTCGCAGATGATGTAGTAGTATTAGTATCTAGCAAGGAGGAGTTAGAGATAGCTTTAAATAAAATGGAAGTGGTATTTACGGATCAGTATTGTATGATAATAAATAAAAGTTAAACTAAAATACTGGTATGTAAGGGATGAAAAAGTAGGGAAAGAACGAATGTAAAGATAGGAGACGAAAGATTAGAAGAAGTGGCTGATTTTAAGTATCCAGGAAGTCAAATAAGTCAGGACGGAAGGAGTAATAGGGATATAAAGCTGAGGATAGCACAGGGTCGAGTCGCCTTTAATAAAACTTCTATGCTCGCGAACGGTTAATTTAGAAATTCGAAAAAGATTGTTAATCGTGTATGTTTAGAGTAGGCGCTCTAGGGGTGCGACACATGGATAGTAGGCGTGTGGAAAATGAAAAGGTTAAAAGTGTTCGTAATGTGGTGTTACAGGCGAATGATGAGGATACCGTGGATAGAGAAGCTTAAAAATGAAGAGATATTAGAAAGAATAGGAGAACAGATGATTCTAATGGTGTCAATAAGAAATAGGCGACATAGGTTGGTAAAACACCTTCTCATGCATGAAGGTCTAGTCAGAGACATATCAGAGGCAGAAATGGGAGTTAAGAGGTGTAGAGGTAGACCTAGATTAGATTTAGCATTCGCAAATAGTTAAGGATGTGGGTTGTTTTAGTTTTAGGAGAATGCGAATATTAGCTCAGAATAGGGAAGTGTGAAGGTACGTGTTCAACCAGTCTGAGGACTGACGACCTTATGATGATGAGGTAATATTCAATGAAGTTGGATTTGATGGTGGTTCAGAAAAGAGATATGATATTGGATGACATCTGTTCAATGTTTTGATTGTTTCATATAAGTTGTGATCTTTGAACATTACTTTGAGCAAAATCGTAATTAATTTACAAAATAAAGATCATAAACCTTTAAAGGTGTGTCAACCAAGAATTCTTGGAACTGTTTCGGATCGCAGTCGTTTCGCTCATCATTATGAATGGCCATCTGATATTTTTCGAATAAAGCGGCTTCAGTTTGGAAGTGAGGATGGACTTCTGATATGTTTTCGATTTGAAGCTGAAAACGTTTGTCTTATCGAAATTTCAAAATTATTGTGCCTATTCGATTATCTGTTGAAACTTTTCTCTTTTCTGTAAATTAGTTACTCTTTTGCTCGATTTTTTGTTTCGTTTTGGTACCTTCAACGGAGTATTGACTAAAAAGCGTAAGAACACCTCCATCTTACACTTTTCAGGAGGGTCGTTGTGAACGGCCATTTGATATTTTTTGTAAATTTGAAACTCTAAATTAACACTTTCATTCCAATCTTCGCCTGGACTACTTGTTGAAACTAATACAATCTACAAAAGAATAACTAATTTATTGGTCTTAACATTTTCATTATTTATTGTTTGTATAGTACTGAGTCGTGGTTATTTTTCGATTAAATCCGTGTATTTTTTCACAAAAGGTGTAAAGTTAGACAAACGACGCCATCTTTGTAATCGATTTTTAAGACAATGGAAAATATGTTATCTACTAGAAGATAAAGGATTCTCAGACTAACTTCACCTCTTCTGTGCAAAATCCACGGAAGTCCTATTCTACGAAGTTTTGATTTCATACTTTTAATTTATGTTTTGCGTTTTCTGGAATTTGATCTATGAAATCTTCTAATTTTTTTTGTTCGTTCTTTGCCGTCTCTTTTTGCCCAATCTTTAGCCCCTTTTGAATCAATTTTTGTTGTTTCCTTTCTATTCTCAGCAGTTTTGCTTTTTTGCACGGTGGTCTGCTAGGATCTGCTCCCACCCCTTTCTTAACTACTTCTGTCGTCGTCGCAGTCGTATTTGCGATGTTACTATCGACTTCCTTGTGTTCTTCTGCAACTGTATCAGAATATATTTACAAAATTTGTTTAGTCTATTTCATTTGGTAAAGGTACCCTCACTATCACACTTTGTTTCATTAATATGTACTTTGGCTTTGTCTAACCTATTATCTGACGACTCGTCTATGTTGCAATCATCGGCCGATTGTACTGTGTTATCCTTAAACTTTGAAAAATCAAGTTCATTTGTCGGCTGTTGCCTGCTTATAAATCCTATCGAACTGTTTTCGCCACTGTTCTCAGTATTTGAACTATTATCAGAAATGTTATCTCCTTTTTCTTGCTTACTATCATCCGTTATAAACTTATTGAATCGTTTTATGACTTTCTTTTGAGACTTTGACGGGTGAAATTTTAAAGCTTCGCATCTAAAACGTCATGTTATCGCTTAAATAAGCATCAAAATAAGAGAACTCAACTGATTTAATACCTAATAGTATACTGAGGACAACATGTTTCATGCATAACTGGTTTATAACAATATTTCCCAGACCGCCTCCAACCCCTATCAATTAAATTTTGATAGTCTTCGACTGTAAGTTGCTCGGCCCACATTCCTGAGAAGATTAGAATGTTCTATACGATTAATTTATTTTAGAAACTTTGCAACTTACCATACAGTACACTACAGTTCTGATTATTACAGTAACCACATCTGTGCCGTTCCAAATCTGGATGCCAATAAACAATACTGACTTTATCTAAACTTAATGAAGCCATTTTAATTGATGTACGAGGCGAATTATTTCAGTAAATATGAATCACATCCCATCGCTACACTGCGAAATATTTTAATAAACTGACATAACATATATAAACTGCACAATTTAGCGTAATACCAAAAAAAAAGGTCGCTAACAATTGGTCTTTTATTGGTCTGATTCATAGAGGTCTCCCCTAACAAGGAATATGACCGTTACAACTCATAGAGAAGTAGGAATTTAAAAGCGAAAAAGCGTCGCAAATGTAGGCAACCCACTGTTTAACTTTCAAGGATCTTTCAAGTTTTAGCAATGGTAACTCCCATGATGCAGTCAGCGTTGATAATCTTAAACTTTTGACACGAATTTCTCATATTGAAAGGTACAAAAATAAGCTAGTAAAGATTATATTTTATTATTTAAAATAAATACATTGATCTGAAGATAGCAAAAACGAAGAAGTTTAATACGTTGTAATAATACTGATTGTGACGTTACAATACAAATGCAGAGCAACTGGCTTGCTTGGAATATTGTTTTAAAATGATAAGTTCTTAGAGTTTAGATACTTCAGGGTATACATTTGAAATGTCTTGTGTTAAATACATATATCTGTTAAGTAATTAAGAATTCTTATTTCAAATCCGATAAGAAGAATATAATATGTGTATGTTAAAATTAAACGCTCATATTGTCATCTTCAATGTAAGAAATATTCATTCGCTGAAGCAATTTTTCTGCAGCAAGTTGAATTTTTTCTTCTTGGGCCCCTAATAACATTAAAGCACCTTGTTTCAAAACCGTAGCCAATGGAGAAAGCTTTTCAGACGGTAAACTGCACAAAAGCTCCATGCACGCTTCCATGGTTTCAATCCTAGCACTTCTATAAGCTTCCGAATCCTGTCGTTATACAAATAATGAGGTTTCACTTGTATTTTATTTTTCTATTTAAATTAATATTTTCTTACCTTGAAAATGCTTATAGCCCTCTGTTGTTGAATTTCTGGTGGGATTGGTTGTGGTGGTATTATAGTTCCACCAGTATTAAAGGATTCCGTTTTTGGTGTAGAAGCAACATAGTGATTTGTTTTACGTTTTCTATACTGCTCCATCATAGCTTCAACCTTTTGCTCGATATCCTTATCGATATCATAGCTTTCGGACATTGTCCTTTTTGTGTCTTTTATTTTTGGGGTAATGTTTTCGATAGAAATTGTTGCTCTAATTTGCATCAAAGTATTCGTGTCGTATTTGATGGAATTCGTAGGTACCTTATAATCGTGACTTAAGTTGGTTTTAGTTGCTTTATTAGCAGATGTTTCATTTTCATCGTCATCAGAGTTAGGACAATTGCTCTTGGAAAGAAGTTTAGTCTTACAGTTTGCATCCTCTTTGTCTGAATCTTTTGAATTTTTATTTTCGCTTTTAAGATCAGTGAAAGGACTTTTCTCTAAGTAACTTTCGGAATCTGTTGAGGTAAAGCTGTCGGATCTTTTAAAATCGCTAAGTTTAAACGGCTTTGGTTTTTGATCTTTTTCTGATTTAACGGCATCCTCATTAACTCCATTATTTAACACTTCTTCCGATGTACTTAATTCACTTGCACATTCGCTTCGTTCGTCAGGAATATTAATCCTCAGGTTAACGTAGGATTCACACAAAAATTCCCACTTAGTTTGGAGATTTCTCAGAAACTTTTCGACATATTTCAAATCAGTGCTACATCTTTGCTTATCATCTTTAGCTAGAATTTCTTTTATGCCGTTTGGTGTGATGTTATACTTTTCAATTCCGTCTAGGCAAAGTTCTATCAATACTATTATTTGTACCACTTCGGAAGTATTGCTTTGGGTATAAAGGTTAGCAGCCTTATTTAAATTTCCTACTTTCTGAGTTAAAAATTTCAGGCCAGGCCTAATGTCGAAGTCCCTCGCTCTTTCACTTGAAAGTTCTAGACATTTCAACAAAGTATCTATGTGCTTTGCATTCACGTGGGTCAAAATACCTCGAAGACTGCAGGAATTTACCTGGAGAATGTTCAGTATAGGAGTCACATGGTTTAAATTTTGTAGAAGAGCGCTGGAGATTGTTTGGATTAACATTTGATGAGCTAGAATTCCTACTACCAAGTTCTTGAATGGAACCCGTAATGTATACAAATCAGGATTTAAGGATGAAGCCATATCCAAAGGATACAACAAGAAGACGTAACTTCGATCGTCGATTACAAAACTGGAAGTAGTTTTGTCACACTCGCAAACCTTTCCAGTACATTTATTACAAGATTTCTGGTTCTGCATAAGAAACACCTGTCTAGCTAATTCATACACTCTTTCGTTCTCTTTGACTGTGCTATCTTTTCGAGCTGCAACTTTAACGGTTGCCAAGTCTCCGTAAAAACTATCTGAATGCGGCTTGAAAGCCAGTGTAATCTGTTGTAGAGGGTGCAAGCTAATTTCACAAGCTCGATGTACACCAGTTACCAAAATTTCCCACTGATGCGAATTCAGTATTTGACCGACGTTAAGAATGATGTGTCTCATGCACGAAGTTCCTAACCGAGCAATATTTTCATTAGGTTGCGAGATACATTCGATCAGAATCAAAAGAAGCTGCTTGAGGGCAAGAGTAGCACCAGGGTGTTCTTTTCGCAGAAGGTTCTGTAAACTTTCATGTTCGTTCTCTTTTTCCCCTTGCAAGTGGTGTAGATATTCTACAATAAGCTCACTCGCCATACCGCAGCAGTGTTTGAAATTTTGTCCAATATCGGTCGTCTTTGGAACCTTGCAGTTCTGCCGAAGCCAATTTTGAACCATGGGCAATAGCAAATGATTAATACAATAGAAGCCAAAATCCACCCCTGGATTTACTATAAGATCTTTTAACAATTTGAACAGCGTTTCCAAAATATAAGGCTGATTCTTATGAGATGATATGACTGAAGCAGATGTAAGTCCTTCAAGTAAAACATACCATACTTTCAGTACGCCACTAGCCTTGTCCATTTTAGGAAGGGTAATACCATCCCTATCGCAATTTTCTAAATCTTGCTGCAGTGAGAGCAGTTTATAAGATGGTGGTTCTAATTCGGTCTGGCTAAATGTTATGATGTCAGAATTCTGAATTATGGGGTCTACCAATTGGGGTTCTGTATCGATGTTCATTCTATGTGTTAAATTGAATGTAGGACATTTCGGCATGTGGTACATCATAGACAAAATGGTAGCACAGTTCTGAAGCAATTTCAAGGATTCCAGGCACAAATCTGAAGTACTCGTTACCTCTTTAGATACAAAGGAGTTATCTTTGCTTCTTAAATCGAAGCTGTCAAGGAAACTGATCTTTTGCTGCTCCTGAATCTTAACATTTTTGGTGTTTTTCACGATTTTGGTAGACGGTAAATTTTCCACACTTGAATCGTCGCTGTCTGAATTTCTAATATGCGAGAGGAGACACAATATGTAATCGAGAGCAGCGTTAGCAAAAACTAGCGTGTTATCCGTTTGTAGGAATACTTTGAAGACTTCCAAAATGGCTGCAGCATTTTGACGAGAATTCGCTACTCTTAATGTACCGAATAGCGGCCTCCATCCTGATGATATTTCTGTTCTGTTACCTTCGACGAATTCACATAAGCATGATACAATTTGATCCTAGAACAAAATAAAAACCGCAGCATAAACAAATAGTGTTACATACAGGCAAATTGGTCTTACTTGTACGTCTGTATCACATAATTCAAGACAAAGGAGATTCTCGAACGGTTTAAAGAGTGCTTCGTTGAAATGGAAATGTGGCAGTTCCGTCTGTTCATTCAGAAGTGCAGTTACTGCATCGTGAATGCATGTAACAGCTTTCTTTGAAACAGCTCTGTCTTTATGGCAAGCTGCTTGCATAAAGTGAGGTCCCACAATGGACCACACTTTCATGGTATGAATCAATGGTCTTCCTGACCGAATGCATTTCAAGGTCACTTCTCCAATTCGATGGAGAAGTAAAGTGGCGGGTGGTTTTTGATAAGACTCCAATTCTTTCTTCCACCACTTTTTGGGCTTCTTTGGCAATTCGTCAAATTTGGCGAATAACTTTGTAAACAAATATAACAAGTCGAATTAGAAACATACTGTTATACCTCTATATTATATCTATATTTACCTGTGCGTACGAGGCTTTACATAATTCGTTGAGAAAACTGCACAGCCCTGGAAGCGCTAAACGCAGCGCTGCTGAATGAAACAGTTCATCAGCCCTTGTGGATAAGACGCAGCAAACCTTAGCTGCATTAACCCCTGTTAATATTCCTGGACCTTGAGTGTTATGCACCCCACTTCTTTCTACAATTTCAGCAACGCTAGCGTCAGTGTTAGACCCTGACAGATTTGTGGTATTCTGGAGAAAACTGTATACATCCACACTGAAAGCAAGAGAGACACCTATTGTTGTAAACACGTAACCAATTTAAAAATTAATGATGTAATGTACCACGTCTCATCGTCACTGGAAACGTTGTAACTCATATTCAGCTTCTCGCAAGTGTTTATTGCAGTGGTAGATGTAACAACGTTATTCTGAGGATTTTGAGCTACCATAAGGAGTTGCGTAGAGCCTGCTTTGCTGAAAAGAGCGTGCTCAAGAGCCGCTACAGCGACACATGCATTAAAAACGTGAGGCCAACATAACGAACTGTGGGACCCCAACGCTAAACCTTTTGATAGGAGAACGTCCAAAGACAAAGCATGGGATGCTAAAATTTTAGGTCCTTGGTTCTTACAGGACGATGAAGCCAACAAAGCTAAGATGCTGCTACTTCTGGACTGCAGTTTTAACGTATTACTCAAACTGGCAGCCTAAAATATTCTTTTCTGGTGATGGAGTACCATAAGGATTAATTATCACAACAGCTACCTTGTGTAAACCTTCCAAGCTGGCACTAATGACGTCATCTTTTATCCTCTGTCTAAGTTTTTGACGTGCTCTCCGGGCAACGAGCCTACTAAGTGCAGATGTACCTCCGGGTGGTGGCTTTTCACCAAGCGCTGAACCAAGAACGGATACAACGGATCCCCAACAGCACGTTAACACCCTTCGTGACAATTTCGTGCCAGCTTCTACTTCCGGACTTATATCCGGAGTCCCTCTAACTTTCTGCAGTTTTTGCCAATCGCTGAGGAGCTGAGAAGGGGACATACCCCCTACATCTGTAATCATTTTTATTTCCTGTAATGTTTGCCTATATATAAAGTAACATTCATGGTATACCATTTAATAAATTAATTAATGCTGGTTGGTTAGGACTTTTCGGATCGTAACCAGCAGTTAGCAGTAACGGTTTTGCAATTACGTTTTGATATAGTTCACACAACCAAGTAGCAGAAACGTAAACAAGTATACCACTTCCATGAATTTCCTCAACGAACTGTGCTTCACTCATTGGAACCAGAGCCTAATTAATGATACATTACCTTTGTGAAAAATACGTGCAGTAGTGATCTTGGATTTTTACCTCTCCGTTGCGTTCCTCGTAATGCCCAATCTGGATTAATTTTAGATTAAGCAGGAGAGCTGAATATGTAGCCAAATAAACCCCGTCAGCATTCATAATGGTAGATATTTCGTAGTTCTGAGACGAATTGTGCTGGCAACACTTGGAAGCGAATTCCTGCATATATTCGTCTATCTAGAAAGAGACGATGATGTTGATATTCTGTTGTTTATAGTAATTTGATTATACAAACTTGTATTGAAGATCGAAGAGATAGCAAACTGGGAAGTAAAATGTTCTGTAACGTTTTTACGAAATGTCTAGCATTATGTCTTTCTAAATCAACATTGCATTCGTCTATGCCATTACGTCCCTGTAATAGAACAAGTTCTGGTGCATCGTATTTAAGGGCACAATGAAACGGAATACGTTACCAGTTGAAGTGCCTTTGGAAGATTATGTAACTTCTTGATTTCATGATTCGCTGAATAATTTTCATCATCTGTGTTACTGTCGTCGGAATGAACTCCGAATTCTTCAGGACCTTCAGTTACCCCAGAACAATCAGAATCAGTTTCTCCTTCAACAATTTGTCCTCCGCCTTCTACACCACTGCTGTCTGAATCGTTGTGATATTTGAGATTGGCAACTACATCTCTTTGAAATTGATAAAGGATCATTGAAAAGAGAAACACAGGCACCGTTGTTAAACTGCGTTTACCTGTAAGGTTTTGGCAAACGAGCTAATGATTGGTAAGTCAATGGTCCTGTGTAATCAGCTTGTTCAAGGGTGGGGTATCGACTGTTTGCCATTTCAGAACCTTCCATATCTAGCCCCTCACCCTTACATAAGGCTTCCAAAGAACCTAAAAGTGCTCTTACGCATTCCACACTGGCCAACATGATAGCGGGATCGTTGTGTTGCGACGATTCTTCAATCGAATCCATGATACTGGAGAGACACAGAAACAATTTGATATAAAGATAAACGTATTGGGGTTGTTTCTTACAGTCTTATAATTGCCATATCATCCCCAGCGTGTCTATGGATGGGTCCGCTTAGCAGCAATAGGTCAGCCAATCTAGCAGGAGACCTTAGTAGCTCCTTGGCTGCTCGAAGTGGCTCAAGTCGCTTTCCAGGAGTTGGAAGCAAAAGCATTCTATGGAATAACGCTTCTAAAACTGGTCGGAGATGCCTTTCTCTGCCCACTAATCGTACAACTTGAATTCCAATACTAGAGAGGAACAATTCAAACTTTATAAGTGCAAATAGGGGATTTTGGAGTAATATTACCTGTACACGATTTTTGCCTGTTGGGTCGTTAAGCTTCGACTCTCGGGATCTCCTGGAGTCCCCAACAGAGAAAGTAAGGAAGGACAAAAGCGCTGCCACAAGAAAGTGGTGAAGTGCAAATTTGAATGAACAGTTTGCGGCAATGTGTTCACCAACGTTAAAAGGCATTCAAGTAGAAAGACTGTAATATCGTTGGGTTTTGGAAGACTAAAAATATATAAGTTAAACGACTCGTTTCTAGTATTATTTGGAACTGGTGCTCGTACATTTTTGTTTCTTCAAGTCTACTGGAGATATACTGCATGACTGGAATTGCTTCATTAAAACATGCAACGGCTGATGTCTTGCTGTACACCATTTCTGCGCTACTACCAGAATTTTTATGCTTTTGTTGTTGTGAAAGAATCTCCTGACATTCCTCGTCTAAAAATTGAAGCGGGATATAAGCGTTTGGATCGCACTAGTAATTGAGATTTTAGTACCAAGGAAAGCACAAAAGGCTGTCAACGTTTGACTGGCGGCAGCCTGAGCTGCGGCTCTAATAGGCTGAGTTCCATTTTCGTATGCTTCTCCAAAGCGATTGATTAGTAAAATAACCAATCTTCCGTTCAATGCAAGGCTCGTTCCACATGCCATATTCAAAAAAACTCGCAACACGTGAACCTGCAATAAATTTTATCAAAAAACTATTTGAACACGCTTCATGATGTCTTTTACTTGGGTGTCTTCACAATGGGTTAAAATGGTTGTGGTGGCATTAAGTAGTTGTGCTGGAAGCCAAAGTGAATCATCTTCAGGTTCTGTTCCAATTTGGAAGCGGTCGTCTCGCACAATTTTCTGTGATCACATGATGAGTATATTAAACAGTTTTTGAGAAGATACGCAAGAACAGAAAAGTTTTAATTTGTAAGGTGGTAAGGAATATTGAATAGGCATGATTTATGTATGACTTACGTTAAACCCTGTAATTGCCATTGTAACTAGTTTGCTTCGTTTAGTTTCAAACGCATGTCGAAATGAGTTAAAACAAGCAGCTCGCAACTCAAATGAAGGATTCCTCAACAAATTATTTTGGGAAGTTAATAAATCTGGAAGTAACAATCATTTGAAAATATTTTAGACGATTCGAACGGATTCCTTATATTGTTTATCACGAACCAGCAACTGACTTACCGTGTGCTTCTTGAGCAGATTGTCTTATGGAACTTAATCTTGGGCCGCTGGCTTCTTTAATTAAATTCTGTAAAAGATCTTCCATTTTTGGAGGATAAAATAAAACGAATTCTAGATGATACCGAAAATTATAATATGCGACTGACTCAGTTTTGCTTATCTGAGCATGTGCTATTAAAAAAATCAATAAATGAGTTTTCGACAAACAATCGTAAATGGTAACAACTGACGATGCATATTTGACACCAGTGCTTTTATCTTATATTAAAATTTGGTAATTAATAATAAATATTAATTGAATCAGTCTACGAATATAAATGTAAATTTATCGTTAAAAAAATTGTAGTAGGCTTATTATTTTACTAAATTGAAAATACTGCCCAAGTAATAAATGAGTAATGAACTTATTTTTATAAAGTCTGAACAGAGCAGTTGGTTTTCCGTTTCCCTTGTTCTTTATCAGTTTCAATGGGAAAACGACCGGAAGTGAATGTCCTTCTGCCTAGTGCCACCATCTACCGCTACGTGAAGTTGGGACGCATTAAAAATAAAGTCGATATTTTCCGAGAGATGGTGCGAACGAAATTAGAAAGGAGCGTTATACTATGCTATGCGTCGTCTTTAGTTGCTATCAAAATTTTGACATGACGAAACAATTTTCTATTTGTGTTCTAAAAGAGTAGTCTGCAGCAGAAGTTGGCGTTGTTGGTGTAAGTGAAAATTTGTTGTCGGAAATAGTTATTTTTCTGAACTGTTTTCGTATAAATTTTCTTACTGCTGGTGTTCGTGTAATATTCAAGGAGGAGACGACGACAATGAATCGTAATGGATATGTAATCTAGGTACGTACGATATGCAAATTTGCAGTTCACCAACTTACATACTGTGACGCGTTTGATGCCGTGTAAACAACGATTTCGTGATTTCTTTGTCCCAAAACTGCAATTATAGACATGCCTATGCCGGCCTAATTCAGAGAAAGAACCTTATGCCTACCTGACTTTCGCCCACCGCTTGCTTTTGCTGGTATGCTAAACGTCAAAGTGACGTCAAGTTCTACGCCCCCGCCGTAACTTTCAAAAATACTTAAGTAAATTTTTACGCAAACAACGTCCAACTTGTTAGCTATCTTTGATTGTTGATCGCACTTTTTTCCTTTTAATTTGGCATGTTCATGACATTGATTGAATTGTTAGAAATTTCTAGAACTGCATATGGCTAGTACAAAAACCTACATAACTATTCCTATGGTTTATTTTTATGTAGTATATGCGCTTTAAATGTTTATGTGCTATCTAAAGGAGTATTTAAAATTGAAATAGTAATTACACCTTACAGCTGAGTTTTTGAAAGTTTACTGTTCCTAATTTACTTTTTTTGTGATATGTAATTACTAATTAAAGCGTTTCATAATGTTCATAGTCTACCAGGTTCAATGTTGCGTAAAATGAAACTAGGTTCCTACATAAGAATTTCGGTAAATTGTTCTGAATTTAGAAACTACAATCCAAATGGAATAACACCTCCGAAAATTTACTAGGAAGTTACTTAAGTCAACTTATTAATATGCCAGAGTATATCGATAAGCAGAGTAGATACCTACAGAGTACCTATTAGATCTTTATTATTGACGACTGATTTTAGGCATCTTAAAATGCATTACAGAAATGAGAGATGCGTTATTCCAGAAATTTGTTTCTGCAACAAGAGCAAGTCGTATTTGAAATAGTTAAGCGTATCGGTATTTATTGGTATGTATGACCAGAACTGATCAAAAGGTCAACTATACCTAGTTTGAAAGATAATCCAAATATGCATTAATAATATTGCAGAAACATTCAAATTTCTGATTTTCTTGGCTCTCACGATCAGTTTAAGGTTCTAAGGTCGTCGTGGGATATGCTATGCGATTAAATAATAAGCACATCGCTACTTCAATGTAACACATAAAGTATAAATTTATGAAAACCTTGTAAACATTACGTGGTACTGAAAAGTGGCTGTAAGGTTCATTAAACCAGTGGTTGATGATGAGAGAGTGTTTTTATTATAAAATAGATTACCCATTGTTTTGCCCTTCCCCCAGACATTTGGTCGAGGCACGTATAGTGACTTGTTGTTTCGCTCTCGTTATCTGTCCACCTGTTTTCTTCAAATGCCAACTTGTGTACAAATTTTTGCATGTCGCAGCTTTCGATACCGATTACACGTGTAGCTATTATTATTACGTCATCATTTTTTATTGATGTTTTTGAACACACAAACGTTGAACAGATGTTCTGCCATATTTTCTTTAACGCGATTGCCAAAGGTTTAAGATGAAATCTGTGTTTTTAGAACAATAAGTGAACAAAGAACAGAGTAGTCATTTCGCCGTAAGTAGTTTGGTATTGAAAACGCTTCAAAGAAATATGAAAATGCTGTCTGTAATTAAGATTTATAATGGTACCTATATTTCAGTTAGAATTTATAATTGGTGAGCGAAATCAAAATATCAAGGTAATGTCACGCTCATCTACTAATATTTCATACTCCCACACTGAAGTGTTTGGCTGTGGATTCTTGGTAGAATTAAATCGGAACATTTTCTTCATGCGATCATAAACGGCTACTACAGCTTTTGTTTTTTATTATTATTATTATTTTTTATTATTTATTTTGTATTGTTGCAGTTTATTCATAATGGCCGGCCATGTTTGCCGGGGTAAAGCGGCGGTCTTCCAACATTCGTGTCATGCAGTTGTTCCATGAATTGAAACAACAGTTTCCGACGGTACCGGACCACATTGTCACCGCTTGCATTACTAATTACGGTCAAAAAACCAATAACAACTACTGTAAAGACGATCAGCAGAAATCAATTCAGGAAATTCTGAAAGCCACAATCGCTTCCGAAAACCAGGAGTCCATGGGCCAGCAAGCAGTTGCTCCTGCCGATCCCGCAGTCCCGCGTATGTCTAAATCTAATGTTGAGACAAATTTTTCAAACGATACCATAGAAGAACAATATCTTTGTGACGAAAAAAGGCAAGTCGCCAATTCCGAGATCCTCGCTTTGGACGGAGGTCGTAACGGTAAACCAAAAAGGCCTCATAGAAAAAATCATCATCAAAAGAAAGTCAAAGGAAGCGCCGTTAAAAAAAGCACAAAAGACGAAATCGATAACCAACAGCATCCGAGCTGTTGTGCTGCAGATTATTCTCAATCGAGCAAATCATTTTTGGACAATTTGGACATTAAAGTTGACGCCAGAAGCAATCAAAATAGCCCCGATCGACATCGACTCGAAATGAACGAAGGTGATAGTGATCCTAACCGAAATGTGAAACCGAATGCGTTTTATTCGAAAAATTCCGAAAGTGTTAGTGTAAGTTGCTCAAACCCGAATAGTGAAACTGAACAGAAAGTGGGAAACAGTTCGTTCTTTGTTAAAAGACCAACCTATTTAAATATCAAACCCGATCAGCCTGCTACCCCTCACGATTTAGTTGATGCCAACATACGACCATCCGAACGGTGTTTCGATATACAGAAACTCTTACATTCAGAACACTCTGACAGTAAACCCCCACGTTCCCCTCTTACTTCTAAACGCTTTCTTAGGGGATCACCCAGTAAACCTGATGGCATAACCACAACAAAGTCACCGTTAGTTTCTCCTGATACCAAGAAACCTCCTTTGTCTCCCAAATCAAACAGGGCACATCATTTTCAGGATAGCCCCATATCTAAGAGCTTTATATCCCCTGCATCTCAATTTAGCAATAATCCTATCCTATCCCCAAGCGTAGATGTAAGTGCTTCCGTATTTCAAAGCAAAAACCTTACTGGCGAAACTTCTAATATCGGAGACTGTAAAAAAGACTGTGAAAAGTGCGCTGATTTAGTTGGAGTTGGAACACCAGCTCAAGCTGTTACGCCTCTTCTGGAGGCAGGCGCGAGTGTTAATCTTTCCCTCAAAGTTGATTGCTCCATGGGTTTAGTTCAATCCCCAACCAGACCTCGACGTAGTTCGGTGTTAAATGTAACACCAGAACTACCCTGGTGTTCTCCCGAGTCACCTTCTTCCCAGAGAAGCTACACGAGCGTCAATTTGACTTTAAGGCCACCCTCGTCAGAACCTCAAGCTCCTATTAACATCACGTCCCAAAATTCTAGTCTCACGTACTCTACCAGCAGCTTTGATTCCCAAAAAGGTCTTCAAAGTCGGCTTCAGATCACTGTCGGGCCCAGTGGAGGTACGGTCTCTTCGGTGAGAACGCGTCCGAAGAGCAGTTACATTCCTCAGGAGAGCCCACAAGAAACTGTGCCTGCAAGAGCCGGCTCTTTACCAGATTTAGCGGCAAACGAATCGAGTAAGTATGAAAAAGAGATTTTATTAGTCGTCATACTTTTCCAAAAAAAAAAAAAAATGCGGTCTTTGACATACATTTGTTCATTATGAAATTTCGTGGGAAATTTTTGATAGCCGTTTCGAAGAATGTGAAGAGATTTCTTCACATACTTGTGAACCGTAAGGAGAAGCAGCTAGGCGTCCTTGCCAACGTTGCCACGTTCAGTGGTCGTTAGAAATAGCGCATCACGGAGTGCGTGGGCGCCCAATCTAAAAATAGATTTTGTAGGCTGCAAACACCTGATTCTATCGTATTTGAAATACCCCTGCTACAACATCGGGATAGCAATCAAAACGAATACCTGTGGATGCATTGTAGACATTGGATAATCTACTTATCGTAAATTTCAATGGCTTCTTCTCTTATCGATTAACGTATTTCACACTATTATGAGATTATGACAATAGTTCCAGTTAAGGAAGCTACTATTTGATCACCAGTATTTACGTATACCAACGGTTATAGTGAATTTTTTTATCATTTTAAGGATTATTTTAAAAGAGTACGTGTTATCATGATGGTCTAATGGTGTATTAGAAACTGCAGATTTCAGTTATCAAAGTAAAGCATGCTTCGTCGTCGGTAACGTACCGATTGTACAAAATAAATAGATATTCCTACGTAACTTACTAAATATGAAAATCGAATTATCTGATCGATCTTCCGTTGAAAGGCTATCAATAAACAGTACTGTATGAGCGAATAAAGGTAGTTCTGTCTACCTTTTATCACTTGATATTTAGTTGTACTTTTTGGCATTTTTAGCAGAACGGAAATGGGATTCCTTGTAAACATTGAAAAAAGATTCATTTATCGATTGGTCTATCTAAAGGTTCATTTACGGAAATGGCTTCTGTCAATGACATCTTAATTTTATCCTTTGTTATGCAGTTTTAATTAGAGAGTGATTGGTTTCATACAAATTTAAAACGCATTAACGGGGATTCCTTTATGCATCATTTCATTCCAAGGAAACGTTATCGCAAATAAATTTTAAGTGTATTTGTATGTAAAGCGATAAGAAACATCAATATAATCAGTAATCAATCAAGCAACAATTGGCAGATGTGAAATGGTTTTAGTTATTCAGTAATCTCCGATCTATCATTGCATCTACATTTAATTTTTTAATAGTGGTGTTGTAACCAATTTTTATTATGACTTCATCCAGCAATCAACCTGCACCGACTGGCAAGTTCAATTTTTATTATTATTCAAGTGGCAAAGTGAAAATTGAAAAACAATATTTTCGTCTATGCTCTTCAAAAAATCCGATCCGCAATTATTTATTATTTTATATTGTTTATTTTACTGAGCTTGATAAGATGTGGAATCCTCTCCAAACTCAACACAAACTCGTATTTATCCAATTTTGTAATTTCTTAGAGACTGTTTGACAGAAAGTTGGAGTTTTGAATTATCGTTGGAAAATGCTGTTAAAAAGTTCTCATTAGGCATGAAAAATGGATAGGCACTAATTAGTTAATGCATGTCAATGTACTCTTATCGCTTTGCGACAGAATATGTAGATAATAATATTCAATGTAAACTTAGCTGGTCGGCATCGATTCTGATGTTTCGTATGCCAAGGAAAAAGGTAAGAACAACTGTCAATTTTCGTTGCAAAACCTTCCGAAATGCTTTTGTTGTCAAACATTCGGAACGCAATTAATTATAGAATGCGTCAAAATACTGGCACAAAATCGTTGGAAATATTTTCATTTCGCCTGAACGTACCGTCGACGATTGCAAAACATTTTTACGTGTCTGAGACTAATTAGTTCGACAAAACGGTCGCTCAAATGTCAAAACACGAGACGGCTATCTACTACTTCGTGCGTGTGGAGATACAGATATTTAACCTCAATTTCAGCCAGTCAACGCATTCTTTTGTCCACGAGGAAATTTCGAAAAATGTAATGTATTTAAATAAGAAATAACCCAACCAACTTGTCATAACACCCGTTTCTAAATTATTGGTCGACCTTTTTTTGTTTTTCTTTTATCTAACGTGGGTGTAAATCCCAAAAATATTTAATTAGTACCTGTGACTATTGCGGATTAATCGTTAAGATATGACATAGTTTTTGTCGTTGGTCTTTTAATACCATGTGTTGGTCATGCATTTTGGTAATGCTGAAACCAATATTTCAAGATTCAAGTCAAACAGTAGAAAAGGAGGTTTTTAGACAGATTTCAAAATGAATTCATTATAATTTTGCAGTCTGCTATCTTCCCTCTTGATTTAGTTTTTACTGATTTGTCTGAGGATGAAAAAGACATAGGAACGAACAAATATATTTTTCTCAAAAATGTACAAATGAGACAGCACTTCTATCGAGGTTTTTAGACAGATTTCAAAATGAATTTATTATAATTTTGCAGTCTGCTATCTTCCCTCTTGATTTAGTTTTTACTGATTTGTCTGAGGATGAAAAAGACATAGTAACGGACGAATATATTTTTCTCAAAAATGTAGAAATGGGGCAGCACTTCCATCGAGGTTTTTAGACAGATTTCAAAATGAGTATATTATAAATTTGCAGTCTGCTATCTTACCTCTTGGTTTAGTTTTTACTGATTTGTCAGAGGATGAAAAGGACATAGGGGACGAATATATTTTTCTCAAAAATGTAGAAATGGGGCAGCACTTCCAACGAGGTTTTTAGACAGATTTCAAAATAAATTTATTTAATTTTGCAATCTGCTGTCTTACCTCTTGGTTTAGTTTTTACTGGTTTGTCTGAGAATGAAAAGGACATAGGAACGGACAAATGTTGAAATGGGGCAGCACTTCTATCTTTAAGAGAATCAGAAGTACCGTACGTCCCATATTGCTAGTATTATTGAAAGATTAACGCAAAAACATCGGGATAAAGTTGATTTGCGAGTCGTTAATGTTACATTTATCGTTAGATAAAATGACGAAAATGTATCTCATGCAGTGACGTAATGGCGCCGACATCGTCGTTGACAGTTTCTATTGCAGCAGATTCGCCTAGAATTTACCTTTGCCTTTTTCATTTTTCAACACTTACTGGGATCTTTATTCTGAGCCAGTCTTGCGACTGGTTGCAATGTAAAAATAATACTCGCTTGTTTTGTTTTGAAGTTTTGATGTTCGGATATCAAAGTGAACAAATTCCCATCTATCTATCGGTATACGCAGTAGGCGGCGAACATTCGCGTTTGCCAGTTGTTTGTTTTATTGGCTTTTGAAAGAATATTGAGAATATGGTAAAACAGTTGCGGATAAGTAAATGGAAAACACCGGTTATTTATCGTATAGAATTTTTCCATGAAAAATGTATGTACCTACCTATTCTGTCTTTGTGATTGAATTGCTAATCCACATCTCTTGATTTTGATAGTGCAAACGCAGTGTAATCATTGTTTAAAATTAATATGGCGTTGTTTTATTTTGAATTACCAATATTTTCGTTTAAAGAATTCCTAAACAGCTTACTTAGTTTTTGATTTATGCACTTTCGACTATGACCAGAATCATTTTGGTAAAATTTGCTGTTATTTTTATTCTTCGTTAGTACTTTTTTTGAGATTTGAGTTTTAATCAATAAAGAGGTACATAGGTTTATGGGAGATGTATTAAACATCATCATCATAACGTCGTCAGTCCTAAGACTGGCTCGACACGCACCTGCACTCTTTCCTATCCTGAGCTAATCTTCGCATTTCCCTAAATCTAAAACAACCCACCCTTTATTTAACATGGCAATTTTTTAAAATATTATCTTTCAGCGTTATTTTAAAGGAAGTCAATATTGATAAAGCAGACAGATAAAGATACTGTCGTTAAATTGTCTAATCAAATTAATAAATAGTCTGGGTTGTATTAACTACAGTAGTGAGATATTTAATGAGAATATTGTTCTTTCAAATTTATTTATGAATTTATCTTCAATATACGTTATACATACGTATCTTATTATTGACATTATAATCTACTTTCGTGATGTTTTCCATTACGTTATTTTGAAAACGTCAACGTCATATGGTTTAGATTTTTGTTCGCGGGTGTTTTTAGCTTTTGGCAATTGTTGCGTTTTTTGATGGGTGCCATTTATTTGGCTTTATTTTGCTTTTTAAATTTATTCAACAGATGTTTTAAGTAGCTGGATAACAAACGTAACATGTGGTGGCATCGGTCCAGTTACATCCGTACTTAAGTACAAACATTCATTTTCGTATACAGACAACTGCTCTGGCGATGAACCGTTTAACAATTGTAGGAATAGGTTAATACCTTTGCCCGAAAACAATTCTTTTTTTTTAACTCCGCAATTTTGGAAAAAATAAAATTTAGTTAATTTTTGAAATTATCGAAAAATGCCGTTAACTTTACCCTGACAATATGCTCCTAATCAAAAAATGCTGAAATATGAATCTCCACAAGACCATGTATTAAATATTCCTTTTTTAAAGCATGATTGTTTTTGTTGAAGCCTTATTGTTATTTACCGTTGTCAATAAAAATGTATTAGCTATTGATTACTGAAAATTAACATATGCATATTTTATTGTCGTAAATTAAAATTTGGCTGGACTTCTTTAATCCAATGAATTTTGAAATTTACGTGTTGTTTTCCAACACAAATTGATTTATTTGATGCTGAAAAGTCACGTTTTAGGTCACATATTAATTATTTCAACATACGTGTTTACTTTTATTGTCAATTGCTTAAAGGTAAATGACGATGGAATCATGAATTCATATATCTCCAACCCCATTTGATGAAAAAGGCAATCTTTTTTTTTTGTTACATACATTGGGGCGAACGTCTGTTTTCATAAATTTAATTACCAGTGTGTTCTATTCTCTACTTTGACAAATTTTAATGTTTTCGTTTTTACATTTTTGCAGCGTCTGTGATATCGAAGCAGCAGGTTCGAATAGACAGGTTACGGATAGAACTTGTTACGGAAAAGGGTAGGTTGATAGCGATGCAACGGGAAGTTGCAGCATTAGAAAACCCACTTACCAATTCTTTAACGACCAAGGTGGACGTGGAATTGGAAAAGCAGCTTTTGAACGAAATTAAGCATTTAAGGGGCCAGTGTGAGAGACTTGTGTTTGAAGTGGAAGGTCAGGTAGAATGTAGAGGTAAATATAGTCGATGCCCTTTCGATTTCTGTTAATTTTATAATGTAATAACGTTGAACGAACCTTTGGTTGGTCGATAAGGTCGTCCATTCGTGGACGCCTCAAAGAAAAACAGTACCTAAATTGTTGATTTGCTCACGCTTAGCAGCAGTAATGGTGCTTCATATTTGTTGACTGTCATTTTAATGACGTCTTGATTATAATAATAACGTAAATAATAGAAATTAAACGATTAGGCAAACCAATCTTACATTTGAATATTTAATTTATTGCATATACTGGCATAATGGCATAAAGCACCATCATCATTAAGGTCGTCAGTCCTAAAATTGGTTGGACACGCATCTCCACTCTTTCCTATCTCGAGCTAATCTTCACATTTCCCTTAAACTACATCCTATATCCTTAACTATTTGCGAACAATAATCTAATCTAATCTAGGTCTATCTCTATCCCTCTTAACTCCTATTTCAGTTTCTAACATGTCTCTGACTAGTCCCTCATGCATGAGACCAACCTATCTCGTCTATTTTTGACTTTCATAGAGTCCTTTGTTCACCTATTCTTTCTAATACCTCTTCATTTCTAACCTTCACGATATTAAGCATTAAAAACACCAACGAATCTTTAATAAACTTAAACGCAATTTTGTTACTCTTTTTTTGCAGTTCCTTTAGGTGAAACAAATGAAGAGTTTTATCGAAATATTTACACGGGTCAAAGGGGCCCTTTAACAATCGAAAGGCCCTTCAGTAACCGTCGCCTCCAATACCAAGGACCTTCACCGGTTGCTGTGTCGGAGGTGGACGGTCCAAAATGGAATTGTCCCGTGTGTACATTCCAAAATCATCCTCTATTGAATAAATGTGAACAGTGTGAAATGCCTCGAATTCTTCATGGTAAGCTATCTCTTCGTGTGTTGTCTACTTACAATTTAATTGTACGCTTTTAATGCTTCTTCTGCGTTTTAACTAATTCCTAGTTCTTTGCAAAGGAGAAACATTCTCTCGTTTGACTGCTCGTGGTAAAAATATTCAATTTTAGGCCCAGCAAAGCCTCAGCTGCCGCCTTCTCGCCAAACTGTTGGTATGACTAGACAGTACAGTGATAATGGCCCTTCGTTTAATAATGCAAATCAATATTATGGCAATCCAATGCATCGCAGTTTCCCAACCCTCCCCCAAAACACTAATTTCAATCTACTCCCTTATTCGCATAACAACTACGTCGCAGCTTTCAACCCTAACGTGAATTTCTGTCCAAATCAAAGACTTTAGCAGAACCAGGATGAAGACTTTACTATTTGTGTGATAATATATCTTTTTTATTATATGTGTATAATTTAGGTTAAGTTCACTGCACTTACAGATAGACGACTGGGTTAAGAGAGAATTGTTGAACACGAATTGGTTTATTTATGAAACTGGTTTATTAAATGGCTTAAAAAAAAAAATATTTCATAGCCAATGTTTTAACTAAAAATTTTATTCTTTCATATTCGTATTTCCTAAGTTACTCTTATTAAAAATACGCATTTGTTTGTGTCCGATTAGATGTTTTTAAAAGTAAAAAATTGCTCATCACAAACGTGTTTTATGGTGATAAAACTGTGATTTGTGTAGGTAATACAAAAAAAAAGGGAAACAGAAACAAGTGACCTTGCTTTCGCAGTACCTATTAAGTACCTACTTACTTACTAGCTAAAAAAAAAGAAACAAACAAAAATATATTTTTTGACCCCTTTGCAGTATAGGTACCTACTTGTTAAGTATTTCAAAATGTTTGGTATCGTAATAAATATTCGTTTACATATATAGATATATGTCTGTTGTTTATTATAACGAACATTATTATTATTACAAAATATTGATATAACATTTTTCCTTAAATAATAAAAAGCTGACAGCTGCTGTTATTGTTTTAGTTTCTGCAGCCCCTGGTGATAATATTCATATACACGTGACTCCAAGAATATCAAGGCGTAAGATATTGTTGTGGCTTTGTGTTTTAAAACAAATTATTTATTATTTTGCATGAGTTCACAAATTATTTATGTTATCATCTAACTGATCGTTGGTTTTGTTACTGTGTTGTTGCATTTATTAACAGTTTAAACAGGTAAGTAGTGTTTTGGTATGCTTACTTTATCTACTCATTAACGCTACCTATTGGCCATTTTGAAGACCTTCAATAATTTGCGTACTTATCGGAGATTAAAGTTGTACTTTAAATGGAAAATTATTTTAATATTTGAATAAATTGTGACACCCACTTCACCAGACATGTGATTGAATTGAAATAGATCCAGTTTTATTTCTTGAAAGCGATCCAAACTCCTAAAATAAATTTTTTAAATGCCACAACGGATCTAAATCGTTTTGGTATTAGATCGTTGTTTTTAACCTCAAATAACAAAATATCGATTTTATATTTATTTTATTAATAGTTATTCTATCGATGATATTTCTTGGAAATGCTTTTATGAATATGTTGTTTTGACATCTAGATATTGTAACACATGTTTATTATTCTTGTAGGAATTGTGCATTCGTGGGTTTTATAGCGAAGTGGTCGTCCTGGGAATTTTAGCTAAAAAACTAGTCAATACTAGTCTTGACTACTTATTTGTACCTTTTATTAAAAGGGAAACTTAGTACGTAATAATAATCATTAAGTGGCGGTGATATAATTAAGAAAATTAATTTTGTAAAATTNATCATTTTAAGGATTATTTTAAAAGAGTACGTGTTATCATGATGGTCTAATGGTGTATTAGAAACTGCAGATTTCGGTTATCAAAGTAAAGCATGCTTCGTCGTCGGTAACGTACCGATTGTACAAAATAAATAGATATTCCTACGTAACTTACTAAATATGAAAATCGAATTATCTGATCGATCTTCCGTTGAAAGGCTATCAATAAACAGTACTGTATGAGCGAATAAAGGTAGTTCTGTCTACCTTTTATCACTTGATATTTAGTTGTACTTTTTGGCATTTTTAGCAGAACGGAAATGGGATTCCTTGTAAACATTGAAAAAAGATTCATTTATCGATTGGTCTATCTAAAGGTTAATTTACGGAAATGGCTTCTGTCAATGACATCTTAATTTTATCCTTTGTTATGCAGTTTTAATTAGAGAGTGATTGGTTTCATACAAATTTAAAACGCATTAACGGGGATTCCTTTATGCATCATTTCATTCCAAGGAAACGTTATCGCAAATAAATTTTAAGTGTATTTGTATGTAAAGCGATAAGAAACATCAATATAATCAGTAATCAATCAAGCAACAATTGGCAGATGTGAAATGGTTTTAGTTATTCAGTAATCTCCGATCTATCATTGCATCTACATTTAATTTTTTAATAGTGGTGTTGTAACCAATTTTTATTATGACTTCATCCAGCAATCAACCTGCACCGACTGGCAAGTTCAATTTTTATTATTATTCAAGTGGCAAAATGAAAATTGGAAAACAATATTTTCGTCTATGCTCTTCAAAAAATCCCAACCGCAATTATTTATTATTTTATATTGTTTATTTTACTGAGCTTGATAAGATGTGGAATCCTCTCCAAATAACACAAACTCATATTTATCCAATTTTGTAATTTCTTAGAGACTGTTTGACAGAAAGTTGGAGTTTTGAATTATCGTTGGAAAATGCTGTTAAAAAGTTCTCATTAGGCATGAAAAATGGATAGGCACTAATTAGTTAATGCATGTCAATGTACTCTTATCGCTTTGCGACAGAATATGTAGATAATAATATTCAATGTAAACTTAGCTGGTCGGCATCGATTCTGATGTTTCGTATGCCAAGGAAAAAGGTAAGAACAACTGTCAATTTTCGTTGCAAAACCTTCCGAAATGCTTTTGTTGTCAAACATTCGGAACGCAATTAATTATAGAATGCGTCAAAATACTGGCACAAAATCGTTGGAAATATTTTCATTTCGCCTGAACGTACCGTCGACGATTGCAAAACATTTTTACGTGTCTGAGACTAATTAGTTCGACAAAACGGTCGCTCAAATGTCAAAACACGAGACGGCTATCTACTACTTCGTGCGTGTGGAGATACAGATATTTAACCTCAATTTCAGCCAGTCAACGCATTCTTTTGTCCACGAGGAAATTTCGAAAAATGTAATGTATTTAAATAAGAAATAACCCAACCAACTTGTCATAACACCCGTTTCTAAATTATTGGTCGACCTTTTTTTGTTTTTCTTTTATCTAACGTGGGTGTAAATCCCAAAAATATTTAATTAGTACCTGTGACTATTGCGGATTAATCGTTAAGATATGACATAGTTTTTGTCGTTGGTCTTTTAATACCATGTGTTGGTCATGCATTTTGGTAATGCTGAAACCAATATTTCAAGATTCAAGTCAAACAGTAGAAAAGGAGGTTTTTAGACAGATTTCAAAATGAATTCATTATAATTTTGCAGTCTGCTATCTTCCCTCTTGATTTAGTTTTTACTGATTTGTCTGAGGATGAAAAAGACATAGGAACGAACAAATATATTTTTCTCAAAAATGTACAAATGAGACAGCACTTCTATCGAGGTTTTTAGACAGATTTCAAAATGAATTTATTATAATTTTGCAGTCTGCTATCTTCCCTCTTGATTTAGTTTTTACTGATTTGTCTGAGGATGAAAAAGACATAGGAACGAACAAATATATTTTTCTCAAAAATGTACAAATGAGACAGCACTTCTATCGAGGTTTTTAGACAGATTTCAAAATGAATTTATTATAATTTTGCAGTCTGCTATCTTCCCTCTTGATTTAGTTTTTACTGATTTGTCTGAGGATGAAAAAGACATAGGAACGAACAAATATATTTTTCTCAAAAATGTACAAATGAGACAGCACTTCTATCGAGGTTTTTAGACAGATTTCAAAATGAATTTATTATAATTTTGCAGTCTGCTATCTTCCCTCTTGATTTAGTTTTTACTGATTTGTCTGAGGATGAAAAAGACATAGGAACGAACAAATATATTTTTCTCAAAAATGTACAAATGAGACAGCACTTCTATCGAGGTTTTTAGACAGATTTCAAAATGAATTTATTATAATTTTGCAGTCTGCTATCTTCCCTCTTGATTTAGTTTTTACTGATTTGTCTGAGGATGAAAAAGACATAGGAACGAACAAATATATTTTTCTCAAAAATGTACAAATGAGACAGCACTTCTATCGAGGTTTTTAGACAGATTTCAAAATGAATTTATTATAATTTTGCAGTCTGCTATCTTCCCTCTTGATTTAGTTTTTACTGATTTGTCTGAGGATGAAAAAGACATAGGAACGAACAAATATATTTTTCTCAAAAATGTACAAATGAGACAGCACTTCTATCGAGGTTTTTAGACAGATTTCAAAATGAATTTATTATAATTTTGCAGTCTGCTATCTTCCCTCTTGATTTAGTTTTTACTGATTTGTCTGAGGATGAAAAAGACATAGGAACGAACAAATATATTTTTCTCAAAAATGTACAAATGAGACAGCACTTCTATCGAGGTTTTTAGACAGATTTCAAAATGAATTTATTATAATTTTGCAGTCTGCTATCTTCCCTCTTGATTTAGTTTTTACTGATTTGTCTGAGGATGAAAAAGACATAGGAACGAACAAATATATTTTTCTCAAAAATGTACAAATGAGACAGCACTTCTATCGAGGTTTTTAGACAGATTTCAAAATGAATTTATTATAATTTTGCAGTCTGCTATCTTCCCTCTTGATTTAGTTTTTACTGATTTGTCTGAGGATGAAAAAGACATAGGAACGAACAAATATATTTTTCTCAAAAATGTACAAATGAGACAGCACTTCTATCGAGGTTTTTAGACAGATTTCAAAATGAATTTATTATAATTTTGCAGTCTGCTATCTTCCCTCTTGATTTAGTTTTTACTGATTTGTCTGAGGATGAAAAAGACATAGGAACGAACAAATATATTTTTCTCAAAAATGTACAAATGAGACAGCACTTCTATCGAGGTTTTTAGACAGATTTCAAAATGAATTTATTATAATTTTGCAGTCTGCTATCTTCCCTCTTGATTTAGTTTTTACTGATTTGTCTGAGGATGAAAAAGACATAGGAACGAACAAATATATTTTTCTCAAAAATGTACAAATGAGACAGCACTTCTATCGAGGTTTTTAGACAGATTTCAAAATGAATTTATTATAATTTTGCAGTCTGCTATCTTCCCTCTTGATTTAGTTTTTACTGATTTGTCTGAGGATGAAAAAGACATAGGAACGAACAAATATATTTTTCTCAAAAATGTACAAATGAGACAGCACTTCTATCGAGGTTTTTAGACAGATTTCAAAATGAATTTATTATAATTTTGCAGTCTGCTATCTTCCCTCTTGATTTAGTTTTTACTGATTTGTCTGAGGATGAAAAAGACATAGGAACGAACAAATATATTTTTCTCAAAAATGTACAAATGAGACAGCACTTCTATCGAGGTTTTTAGACAGATTTCAAAATGAATTTATTATAATTTTGCAGTCTGCTATCTTCCCTCTTGATTTAGTTTTTACTGATTTGTCTGAGGATGAAAAAGACATAGGAACGAACAAATATATTTTTCTCAAAAATGTACAAATGAGACAGCACTTCTATCGAGGTTTTTAGACAGATTTCAAAATGAATTTATTATAATTTTGCAGTCTGCTATCTTCCCTCTTGATTTAGTTTTTACTGATTTGTCTGAGGATGAAAAAGACATAGGAACGAACAAATATATTTTTCTCAAAAATGTACAAATGAGACAGCACTTCTATCGAGGTTTTTAGACAGATTTCAAAATGAATTTATTATAATTTTGCAGTCTGCTATCTTCCCTCTTGATTTAGTTTTTACTGATTTGTCTGAGGATGAAAAAGACATAGGAACGAACAAATATATTTTTCTCAAAAATGTACAAATGAGACAGCACTTCTATCGAGGTTTTTAGACAGATTTCAAAATGAATTTATTATAATTTTGCAGTCTGCTATCTTCCCTCTTGATTTAGTTTTTACTGATTTGTCTGAGGATGAAAAAGACATAGGAACGAACAAATATATTTTTCTCAAAAATGTACAAATGAGACAGCACTTCTATCGAGGTTTTTAGACAGATTTCAAAATGAATTTATTATAATTTTGCAGTCTGCTATCTTCCCTCTTGATTTAGTTTTTACTGATTTGTCTGAGGATGAAAAAGACATAGGAACGAACAAATATATTTTTCTCAAAAATGTACAAATGAGACAGCACTTCTATCGAGGTTTTTAGACAGATTTCAAAATGAATTTATTATAATTTTGCAGTCTGCTATCTTCCCTCTTGATTTAGTTTTTACTGATTTGTCTGAGGATGAAAAAGACATAGGAACGAACAAATATATTTTTCTCAAAAATGTACAAATGAGACAGCACTTCTATCGAGGTTTTTAGACAGATTTCAAAATGAATTTATTATAATTTTGCAGTCTGCTATCTTCCCTCTTGATTTAGTTTTTACTGATTTGTCTGAGGATGAAAAAGACATAGGAACGAACAAATATATTTTTCTCAAAAATGTACAAATGAGACAGCACTTCTATCGAGGTTTTTAGACAGATTTCAAAATGAATTTATTATAATTTTGCAGTCTGCTATCTTCCCTCTTGATTTAGTTTTTACTGATTTGTCTGAGGATGAAAAAGACATAGGAACGAACAAATATATTTTTCTCAAAAATGTACAAATGAGACAGCACTTCTATCGAGGTTTTTAGACAGATTTCAAAATGAATTTATTATAATTTTGCAGTCTGCTATCTTCCCTCTTGATTTAGTTTTTACTGATTTGTCTGAGGATGAAAAAGACATAGGAACGAACAAATATATTTTTCTCAAAAATGTACAAATGAGACAGCACTTCTATCGAGGTTTTTAGACAGATTTCAAAATGAATTTATTATAATTTTGCAGTCTGCTATCTTCCCTCTTGATTTAGTTTTTACTGATTTGTCTGAGGATGAAAAAGACATAGGAACGAACAAATATATTTTTCTCAAAAATGTACAAATGAGACAGCACTTCTATCGAGGTTTTTAGACAGATTTCAAAATGAATTTATTATAATTTTGCAGTCTGCTATCTTCCCTCTTGATTTAGTTTTTACTGATTTGTCTGAGGATGAAAAAGACATAGGAACGAACAAATATATTTTTCTCAAAAATGTACAAATGAGACAGCACTTCTATCGAGGTTTTTAGACAGATTTCAAAATGAATTTATTATAATTTTGCAGTCTGCTATCTTCCCTCTTGATTTAGTTTTTACTGATTTGTCTGAGGATGAAAAAGACATAGGAACGAACAAATATATTTTTCTCAAAAATGTACAAATGAGACAGCACTTCTATCGAGGTTTTTAGACAGATTTCAAAATGAATTTATTATAATTTTGCAGTCTGCTATCTTCCCTCTTGATTTAGTTTTTACTGATTTGTCTGAGGATGAAAAAGACATAGGAACGAACAAATATATTTTTCTCAAAAATGTACAAATGAGACAGCACTTCTATCGAGGTTTTTAGACAGATTTCAAAATGAATTTATTATAATTTTGCAGTCTGCTATCTTCCCTCTTGATTTAGTTTTTACTGATTTGTCTGAGGATGAAAAAGACATAGGAACGAACAAATATATTTTTCTCAAAAATGTACAAATGAGACAGCACTTCTATCGAGGTTTTTAGACAGATTTCAAAATGAATTTATTATAATTTTGCAGTCTGCTATCTTCCCTCTTGATTTAGTTTTTACTGATTTGTCTGAGGATGAAAAAGACATAGGAACGAACAAATATATTTTTCTCAAAAATGTACAAATGAGACAGCACTTCTATCGAGGTTTTTAGACAGATTTCAAAATGAATTTATTATAATTTTGCAGTCTGCTATCTTCCCTCTTGATTTAGTTTTTACTGATTTGTCTGAGGATGAAAAAGACATAGGAACGAACAAATATATTTTTCTCAAAAATGTACAAATGAGACAGCACTTCTATCGAGGTTTTTAGACAGATTTCAAAATGAATTTATTATAATTTTGCAGTCTGCTATCTTCCCTCTTGATTTAGTTTTTACTGATTTGTCTGAGGATGAAAAAGACATAGGAACGAACAAATATATTTTTCTCAAAAATGTACAAATGAGACAGCACTTCTATCGAGGTTTTTAGACAGATTTCAAAATGAATTTATTATAATTTTGCAGTCTGCTATCTTCCCTCTTGATTTAGTTTTTACTGATTTGTCTGAGGATGAAAAAGACATAGGAACGAACAAATATATTTTTCTCAAAAATGTACAAATGAGACAGCACTTCTATCGAGGTTTTTAGACAGATTTCAAAATGAATTTATTATAATTTTGCAGTCTGCTATCTTCCCTCTTGATTTAGTTTTTACTGATTTGTCTGAGGATGAAAAAGACATAGGAACGAACAAATATATTTTTCTCAAAAATGTACAAATGAGACAGCACTTCTATCGAGGTTTTTAGACAGATTTCAAAATGAATTTATTATAATTTTGCAGTCTGCTATCTTCCCTCTTGATTTAGTTTTTACTGATTTGTCTGAGGATGAAAAAGACATAGGAACGAACAAATATATTTTTCTCAAAAATGTACAAATGAGACAGCACTTCTATCGAGGTTTTTAGACAGATTTCAAAATGAATTTATTATAATTTTGCAGTCTGCTATCTTCCCTCTTGATTTAGTTTTTACTGATTTGTCTGAGGATGAAAAAGACATAGGAACGAACAAATATATTTTTCTCAAAAATGTACAAATGAGACAGCACTTCTATCGAGGTTTTTAGACAGATTTCAAAATGAATTTATTATAATTTTGCAGTCTGCTATCTTCCCTCTTGATTTAGTTTTTACTGATTTGTCTGAGGATGAAAAAGACATAGGAACGAACAAATATATTTTTCTCAAAAATGTACAAATGAGACAGCACTTCTATCGAGGTTTTTAGACAGATTTCAAAATGAATTTATTATAATTTTGCAGTCTGCTATCTTCCCTCTTGATTTAGTTTTTACTGATTTGTCTGAGGATGAAAAAGACATAGGAACGAACAAATATATTTTTCTCAAAAATGTACAAATGAGACAGCACTTCTATCGAGGTTTTTAGACAGATTTCAAAATGAATTTATTATAATTTTGCAGTCTGCTATCTTCCCTCTTGATTTAGTTTTTACTGATTTGTCTGAGGATGAAAAAGACATAGGAACGAACAAATATATTTTTCTCAAAAATGTACAAATGAGACAGCACTTCTATCGAGGTTTTTAGACAGATTTCAAAATGAATTTATTATAATTTTGCAGTCTGCTATCTTCCCTCTTGATTTAGTTTTTACTGATTTGTCTGAGGATGAAAAAGACATAGGAACGAACAAATATATTTTTCTCAAAAATGTACAAATGAGACAGCACTTCTATCGAGGTTTTTAGACAGATTTCAAAATGAATTTATTATAATTTTGCAGTCTGCTATCTTCCCTCTTGATTTAGTTTTTACTGATTTGTCTGAGGATGAAAAAGACATAGGAACGAACAAATATATTTTTCTCAAAAATGTACAAATGAGACAGCACTTCTATCGAGGTTTTTAGACAGATTTCAAAATGAATTTATTATAATTTTGCAGTCTGCTATCTTCCCTCTTGATTTAGTTTTTACTGATTTGTCTGAGGATGAAAAAGACATAGGAACGAACAAATATATTTTTCTCAAAAATGTACAAATGAGACAGCACTTCTATCGAGGTTTTTAGACAGATTTCAAAATGAATTTATTATAATTTTGCAGTCTGCTATCTTCCCTCTTGATTTAGTTTTTACTGATTTGTCTGAGGATGAAAAAGACATAGGAACGAACAAATATATTTTTCTCAAAAATGTACAAATGAGACAGCACTTCTATCGAGGTTTTTAGACAGATTTCAAAATGAATTTATTATAATTTTGCAGTCTGCTATCTTCCCTCTTGATTTAGTTTTTACTGATTTGTCTGAGGATGAAAAAGACATAGGAACGAACAAATATATTTTTCTCAAAAATGTACAAATGAGACAGCACTTCTATCGAGGTTTTTAGACAGATTTCAAAATGAATTTATTATAATTTTGCAGTCTGNAGGAGACGAGGTCATAGTTAATCGCTTACGGTCACTGTTTAACAGGTACCTGCTTGGCCTTGACAGAAATATAAAATCCAATAAAAGTTCATTTTTTTTCACTTTATATAAAATTAATAGGTATGTTTACAAAAACAAGTAAAACTTAAGCTAAAGTCCTTATGAGAATAATAATTACACTGCAGTTCCTCTTTCTAAATTCTGCTTAATTTCAGCAGTATGTTCACCATAAAACCTTTCCAGTTTCTTATTAAACTTGGCATTCCTTTCATTGATATAGTCTATATCAGCATCATCATTATGTGTTCGTCGCCGTGAATATTTTTCACGTTTAGCAATTTGATTCTCCAGATCTTTCACCATATTATCTATGGCTTCCTTGCGATCCTCATGTAAACCATGGATAATAACATTGGATCCAGCATAAAATGCATCCCCATATTTTTCCTTCATCTCCTCATATCTTTCCATATCCTTTGAGGGCATGTTTCTCACAAGCCTATCATATTGTCTTTTAGTGGCTGCTTCAAAGTCAGAGAAGCCTGGAAACAAAGTTTTTTTTAGTAAAAGAATATGTCATTTCAAAATTTGTCAGTAATTTAGATTTCAAATGTAATTTACCTTGATCTGGGTTCTTCTTTTTCTTTTTACGTTCTATTTTCTCTGCATCAATGGCCGAAATTTCAAGCATCTTTTTCCTATCATAGTCTTCTCCTCTTGAAGAAGCTTCTTCACGAGCTTTTTGATCGTTTAGAAGCCACTCTGCTCTTTTCTTTCTGCTTTCCCAATTTGATGGAAGCTTACTCCTGGCATCTTCTGCAAGAACCTCCTGATGATTGTGACTTCGTGCTTCATTTCTCAAGGTATGTAATTGTCGAAGTTTCTTCATACGTTCAGCTTGCTTCTCAGCGAACGACATAGTTTTGGTTTCATTTGCGTTAGAACTATCAGAGGTGGACATATTTTCACCTACCTAATGAGTGAAGATTAACAAGTAATCTTAAACTTCAAGAAGCTTGTACAATGACTTTTATTATGTTATTATATGCAAAAATATGCAAAACGTCAGTCATACGTCGCATTACGTCATCCAAGCACAGTCAAGAGTAAACTGCTCCAACTTCCTCACTTACACTTGCTCACAGGCCACTTGATATTTGCGTCTGCGTGAATTTTCTAAAATGGCGTCCACAAATCAGCTGATTCTTTCCAATTATATTCCAATTTCCATCTTACGGTTAGATTTAGATGCACTTAAATATGGGTTAGATGTTTCCAGTAATGAATGATGAGTGGATGTCTAGCGTGTTCAGTTTAGGTAGTAGAGTTGAGTACCATCAAGTAGAACGTAGAATCCACCGTACAGCGTGTTGCTGCACTACGCGCTAAGCATTGGCAGTGTAGTGCAGAGATCACGTCGATGAAGTAACCTCAGTTCCTTGCTTGCGAGTGTTACTTACCTACTATTAAAGCAGGGGTGATACAGAATCATAATAAGGATAATGCTTTTTTTGTAATGAAAGGGTAGTTTTTAGACTTAAGCTTTTCGTTAAACGAATGCAGAAGTGTTGTTGTGTTAATAGTGTTTCAAACAGGTGTAAGTTAGGGTTGATTTTCTATACATATAGTTTTATTAAAAAGTTAGGATGACCTCACTTCCGAAAATACTTCCGAAATTATTACCAAAAAAACCTCTGAATGAGGTGAAAGGTAAGTACCATTTAATAGATCCCTATAATTGAGTAGTGTATATGCCACAAAAAAAAATCGATTTCGATTCTTCAGTTTGGGAACCGGAGCCCCCTCCACAAAGCGAACCCACAGTAATTACATTACGCCAATGTTTCACCACAATTGTGGATCGCAAACCGCTGCATGTGTCCATGAGCTCATTGCGACATATTTTGGCCACCGATTTGAACGTTAATATTCTAACGCTTCAAGTAGGCATGGACAATGTTTTGGCTGAAGCATTGGCACATTACATGAAATTGTGGCCCGGATGGAGTCGTAGTAGCGAATATTTCACCGGTCAATTGCTGTTTAAAAAATGGTTTGAGAAATTTCGCCAATACTTGATGTATAAGCTCAATTACATCATCATGAAAAGTCAGTCGTTGGGCCTAGTTGATAACGACGTTGAGATCGTAGAACCAAAAGAAAAAAAAGATTCGCTTGATGCTGGAGTCCAGACGGATCCTGTAGTTTATAATATCAACCAACAAGAGAACAAGCCTGATTCTCCATATAAGCTGTCCATTTCAGGACCACCTTATATACTGAACACTTTAGTCTTTGTAAAACAAGGAAGTAAGATCATCTTTCTATATACATTATAGTCAGTCATAGGAAAATAGGTTGTTTTATCTTAAGCCTGTATTATTCTCCTTAATACTTTTGTGACTTTACTGCTGGAAGCAGAAATCGCAAAACTATTACAGAAGGATAAAATAGAGGTTTAAAATAAAATGTGCCTAACATTTTTGTTTGACTGCAACTGCAGAAATTTCAAACGCAGATAGTATCGTCAATTGGATTTCAGATGACATTCTGATTAAGCAACATTCAGAGAGACCATGGACTGACCTTACTGTTAAACAGTTGATGAACTGGCCTCATGTGGGTATTGAGATAAAACTGCCAGACTTAAGTATCTCCAGAAAAAATAATCTGGAGTATAAAAGATATGTAGGTTTACATTCTGATATTAAAAATGTACCTCCACTTAATACTACCACAGAAGTAAAAGAAGTAAAGGGTTGTTCATTTGCCGTATTCTCATTCGAATTCATTCAGACCTATATAAGCCAATTCTTAGAAATCGTTAAAAAGTGTCCCAAAGTGAGTTTATATATTCAGTATTATTCGTTTATTTTCGTAATTAACTTATAATTATTTAAGGTAAAATCTGATCGGATTGAAATGTTAGAGCACTTATTTGCGGATTATTTAAATGACGTTAAAGAAGCAAATGTTTACAAAAACACGGTTTGTACATATACCAACGTCAGTTACCATATTGGTAAATCGATCTACTTTAGGAATAAGAGGATTATGTCCACTGTCGGAAAGTGAGGACCGAATTGTTTAGTTAGAATGAAGTTGTCAATTTTTATGATTTTTTTGCTTTTTGTTTCAGTAAAAATGAAATTGTCAATTTTTACGAATTTTTTGCTCCTAAAGTGGAATATGGTATGCAGTACTTCAAAGCAGTGTCGGATGTACAAAAGACGGGTACGAATTTTAGAAGTTTGAATAGACTGAAGACGTCAATTGCAGAAAACCAACTGAAAGAGTTGGAAGAGTTCGTTTTTATAATTAATAATACGTGTATAACTTTTTTATGTATTTTATGTAAAAAGAGTCATTCAGGTCCGTATGCAAAACAATCGTTACTCAATCACTTTAAGCAAGAACACAAACTGGAACAATCCGTGCTTTGCTTTAAATGTCGAAGACAACACGATGTTCTTACACTTAGTGCAGATAGATGGAAACATCAGTGCATACATCCATAGTGTTATGTAATTGTACTCCCTTTATAATAATTTCTTTATATTTTACTTATTTTTAACGAATAAATATTTGTTTATCATGTGCACCTCATTCTTTAATATTACATTTCGTTCACATCAGCATTTCTGAGGTAATATTGCAATGAAATAAAGAGCGTTCGCTGTTTTCTATATGCTGTTCACGAAAGTTAAATCCGCATGTCAGATAAAATTAAGTTCTTAATTATCCCTAGGTATGTCTAATTTCTAGTTATTTGTCTTCGTGGAGCCAAGTTGGTTTTGATTTTCAACTTACTAAGAATTCCTTCATTTTGTCACGTGATTGTCCATCAAGGTTTGTCTTCCCAACATTAGATGGCAGTATGACGTTGTAATAAGCTATTTGCTGGTATTTGATAACCATTTGATTTGTGGTCTTTGTGTTGTGCTGATCAAGGAAGGATATGCTTAAATTGCACCCAATAATCATCAAATAAAGGATTTCCTCATGTTTATTTAGTTACGTGTACGTACGTCTTCGATTTAACTGTTTTCGGGTCATTAGATTATTTCAGATAACACATGACAAAGAATTCTTTACTAAAGTTTATGATTCTTTTGTTTAGTCAGCGACTATCATGCTGTTGGTGGGAGTATTAAATCTGTATATCAGATAAAATTAAATTCTTAATTATGCGTAGGTATGTCTAATTTCTAGTTATTTGTCTTTGTGGAGCCAAATTGGTTCTGATATTCAACTTATAAAGAACTCTTTCAATTTTGTCACGTGATTGTCCATCAAGGTTTGTCTTCCCAACGTTAGATGGCAGGAAGACGTTGTAATATGCTATTTGCTGGTATTTGATAACCATTTGATTTGTGGGTTTTGTTTTAATCCCTTGAGGAAAATATATGCTTAAATTATATCCAATAATCGTCAAGTGAAGGTTTTCCGCATTTTTATTCAGTTACGTGTACGTTCGTCTTCGATTTATCTGTAATCGAGTCGTTAGATTATTTCAGATATTAGGTGAGAAAGAATTCTTTACTAATGTTTACTGTTCTTCGATTTAGTTAACGACTAACAATGAAGGTTTGTCTTCTCAACGTTAGATGGCAGGAGGACGTTGTAATATGCTATTTGCTGGTATTTGATAACCATTTGATTTGTGGTCTTTGTGTTATGCTCTTGAGGAAAATATATGCTTAAATTTATACCCAATAATCGTCAAGTGAAGGTTTTCCTCATTTGAGAAAGAATTCTTTACTAAAGTTTACTACTCTTCATTTAGTTAACAACTATCGATGTAGATTTGTCTTCCCAACGTTAGATGTCGACAGGACGCTGTAATATGCTATTTGCTGGTATTTGATAATCATTTGATTTGTGGTCTTTGTGCGTAAGTTATACCCAATAATCGTCAGATGAAGGATTTTCTCATTTTTATTCAGTTACGTGTACGTTCGTCTTTGATTTATCTGTTATCGAGTCGTTTAATTATTGCAGATTTTATATGACAAAGAATTCTTTACTAAAGTTTACTACTCTTCAATTTACTTAACGACTATCGATGCAGGTTTTTCTTCCCAACGTTAGATGGCGACAGAACGTTGTATTCTGCTATTTGCTCCTATTTGATAACCACTTTAACTGTGCTCTTTGTGATATGCTATTGATGAAAGTATATGCTTAAATTACACCCAATAATCGTCGGATGAGAGTTTTCCTTATTTTTATTGAGTCAAGTGCACCTTCATCTTCGATGTATCTGTTTTTGAGTCGTTAGATTATTTCAGATATTAGATGACAAAGAATTCTTTCCTAAAGTTAATGGTTCTTCTATTAACCAGCAACTATCAACGTAGGTTTGTCCTCCCGACGTTAGATGATGCGATTGCTTCCTTTCCTCTTTTTGGTACCGAATGCTTGCTTAACGTTTTTGAAATATTACTGCAGAGGTATATGTTGATAAATAAAGGACAATAAATGACACAATTTTTTTTCATTGATGGATGGACAACAAGTCCAATCTAACGATATCATTTTTATCATGTTTTTAATCCACATCTCACGTCCCTAAGTTGATGTTTTTTCGTATCACTGAAACTGGAGTTGAAACCAATTTTCAGTCTTGAAATTTTGTTTCATTTTATCAGTCAACTTCTTATATCTTTTACAGTATGAGTAAAAAAAAGTTTATAATAGTAGTATTCTATCGTCAAGGATGGGTATAAAAAGTTACGATAACTGTTTATCTCACTTATTAGTAGAACAAGAAACGTCCGCATCTCGTACGTACAAGTTTGTGTGACACCACAAGGAACGGTAAAGCAGCAAATCATCAGTCTGTTAAAAGTTTTTCTGATTCGGATAAATTCGTTAGCAAAGTGGTGCAATTTCGTGATTTCTGTGTGTTTTTGATATACCTACGTCAAGACGTGTAAATGTTGGATGGTAAGTAATTTTTGCTGCTTTTTTTTGAAATTCACCATAATAGTTTCGTGGACTCCTGATATTTACAATCAATAGTTGATTATTAGGGTTTACTTATTGATCTAGTAATCTGAGTGGAAGGGTGTAGCGTGCTCATTAAAAACAAAAAATTTCGTTTGATTTTGTTGCAACAGTTCATACTTTTTACTACATTTTGCATGACATTGTGAATAATTATACTAGCCAAAACAATTACAGGTAGATTACTATTAAGTTGAATGGGTTTTTGCTAAGTAATAGCAGTTCTTTATTCAAATACAAAATTGGTAATTCACAATCGAGAATAGCTACACATACTTACGTAATTTAATGTATTCATTTTCCTGTGATGATTTATTGTAGCGTGGTATTACAATTACCTAATGTTTAGGAATTGTAAATTTTTACAACTTCGATAAAATGTTGGGAATAGCAATAATCTTTATTGTAATCATATATTTTTGGTAATAATAAACATGGGTTTATCAATACTGAATTTAGGATTTCATAAAGAAGTGTATTTACTCCTGCCGTGATCTTACGCTTAGACAAGGATAAATTCGTATTTGATTTGGATTTCAGCTGCAGGAGACATCTCCGAAAATGACTTCTGCAGCAGGAGACGAGGTCATAGTTAATCGCTTACGGTCAAAATCAGCTCGAATAAATACGCTGTATCGATATTTTTTCATATAAATGAGAATAGAAATTCATCAAAAATTGACTTATTAAAGGAATCGTTCAAGATGAATTTACAATTTTGTTATATTATCACCTGTTCAAACGAATATACTTTCTTAGTAGATTTCCTATTAATCAAAATAATGTATTTAGTAATATTTGGACCCTTGAGATTCTCGTCTGTGGTCAATATATATTGCTGATGAAATTTTTGCCAGAATTATCCATTGTTTGTATTGGACACTTCTTGTATATCTTATACTTATATGAAAACGTTTGCATGAGTGGAGAGAATCAGCTAACAAAATATCTAGAAGGAGAAATAATCTTCTGAAAAGTTAATTTGACAGAAAAGATTTACTAAATTAAAAAAATGATAAAAATTGTAGCATACTTTTGTTTCTCAATAATATATCTACTATTTTACGGAGTTTTTTGTTAATTATTTATTTTAATTATCTGATTATAATGTTTTTTATTATTTTGTCGCGACTGGGAGTAAGGTATTAAAATGATAAGGAAGGCAAGATTGGAAGATTATTATATAGAGAATTGAACAGAAACGTTTATAGAAAGGATCTTCCTCCCAATGTAGATCAATACTCAGTATAAGTTAACAAATTTACTTACATTGATAGGAGGGTTGTAATCATCCCGACCAGGAAGTAGTGCCACCAACACTTAACGTTAGGCTTTTGAGGGTAGAGTCTTTGTGTTAACTCGTTCCCGAATCGACTGATCGCTATTAGACCATCTATCCCCGTTCATGTGCTAAACTTCTTGATGAACCAGTGATTATTTATACATTGTTCAATATGGATCATTCACTGATACTAAAAGTTTCTTTAATTTCGCTGATTTAACGAAAAACTGACGAAATTTTCGATACTAACTAGGTTAGAAACCCTCTTTGTCTTTTTCGATGACTTCTTGAAGTTTCATAATTTTCACAATAACCAGTACCATCAAACTTGCATCAAATCCCACTTGTACATAGACAATTCTTTTCTCTTACTGTTTCGCTGCTGTAGAATTCCAAATGCACTTATTTTACAAGTAAATGAAATCGATTTCTGTTTTGTGAATTTCGAAAGAATTGCAACTTTATAATTATGAAATATTTAATTAATTTTGAAATATGTTTTAGAGTCTAAAATGATTTTTTGAGTCTCCATAAAACTTCACCAAGTGTCAATAGTAATAAATAATAGTAATTTTGTATTCTTCATTAACTGGTTCGAACTGTATTATCCGTTTAGTCCTCAGCATCTCAAAAGAAGGAACAAAACCTTTTAAGAATGAGACGTTCTGTTCGTCTGATTTTTATTCATCTAGTGCATTTCTGGTTCATTTTAAATAAGGGAGGGCACGTATCCAATATAATACATATCTGTGGCTACTTGTGAGATGGAAATTCCAAAATCCGAAACTGTTTGTTGAATGATTTGCTACAAGATTTGTAATGATTTATAACGTGTACGTTTTTGTGTGCGCCCAGTGGCAAGGATCCATATTTTCTATTAATGTCCCGCAAGGGAAATGAAAAATCTTTTCGTTGCATGTAAGCAGGAAAGCAACTTCTCGAAGTTTTAGTTAAAAGAAAGAGCGAACTAACGAACTGTGATAACCTTTAAGAAATATAGAGAGATCATGTTAGAAAAATTTTGGCTACGGAAAGAAGCAACACATAAATTAGTAGATACTGAATTACTTAGTGATGAACAAAATTGATCTTGGTATTGCAGTCTTGGTCTTACGAAAATGTAAGACCAAGACAAGACCAAAATTGTCTTTATACTGGCAAGACCAAAAGCAAGACCGCACGTAAAAGACCAAAACTAAAACAATATCAAAAATGTCAGACTAACACCAAATACGCAATACTAAACGAAAAATTATTACTTCTGGTGAATTAATGATTTAATCTTTATGAAACAATATTGTAATGTTCGT